GCTATAATCGCGTAAGCGGTGACTACGCCAATCAAGAAGAAGAAGATGTATCTGAATTCCGGTATGCGAATGCTTGCGTACAAACATATGTATATGGATATGGAGCCAAGCCCAGTAGCAGTGATCCGTGCTTGATAAAATATCCCGTAAGGACATATTTATGGTTAAAATTGGTTCGCCTTTAGTGGATTTAATATCGGTGATGATCTTTTTGATGTTCTATGACTTATTGTTTCGAATATAAACAAAGTTAAATACTAATTCATATTCAGTAAGAACTAATGTTTTAGTTAATGCGAATTTACTAATATGATTAGATACAAGTATTTGTTGATAAATTGATCTAAGTATAGTGAGTTTCAATGCTTTACGTTAATTTTACTAAGATATCTTAAATTTGACCGCATCTAATAGTATACCATTAGACGGAAGTTTCAAAATCTTTTAAATGTTAGGTATCTCGTAAGTAAAATTTAATGTTTATGATGCATTTAGTAGTTTCTAAGAAAATCGTTATTAGGGGTGGGTGGTTATCTATCGATTCAATTTTTACACAGTCGGTGTATTATTAGGTTTAACGATTTAGGAGATATGTGAATTAAAGTTTTAGAGGGCAGCACCGCGACCATTTCTTTTTTAATTTTAAAAATTGCAGATATTTCTTCTCTAATTTAATTTCTTATACCAAATAAAAATATTAATCTTATTTCGAAGCTCAGTTATTACAATTTATTTGTTGTCTTTTAATAGAGTTTTGTGAGCGTGGTTCACTTTTTAGACAGGGAATACAGGTACCAAGTTTCTGAGCATCATGTTGCAAAAGTATAAACATACATAAATCTACATATGGACATACGTATGTACATTTCTGCCTAGTTGGTTATCAGCCAACCGAAGAAATGTGAATTATTAGTAATTGCAGAAATAAATATTTCACATTTATCAGTAAAAATGCAGTCAGTTGTGTAATTAACTGACAGAAAATAATTATACACTCGCACACTTCATGTAACAACACATAATACACGTTTGAATCATATTTTGAATAATAAGTTATTTATTCTTGCTCTCAATCAACCTCAAAAAAATTCCATTTAGAAAGTCTCCACTTATTAAAATACTCACGAGTTTTCACATACACGTACAAACATTCATGGCAAAGAGCAAAGAGTTATAACCTTGACGAAATTTAAATAACTAATCACAAGAGCAAATACTAATAGAGATCCAAGAACATGAAAGCGCAACAGAATAAACAAGTGCCAGAATAGCCAGATATTTCAAAAGCCGCCACACCCACAGTTTTAAATAAACTATTGCTGGTATCATTTCTTTATGATTATCTAAACACTCGAAATATTTAATAGTATCGAACTTTCGCGGGTATCAGTAACAGTAGAGTGAAGAGAATGTACGACTGAAGAATAGACATGGTCGGAAGGAGCCATTATGAATTGTACGTAAATTGGCAATAACGATGCCATTCATCTATTGTTTATATACTACAAGACTATAAAGGTACAATTTAAATTGAGACAATTGCCATGAAAATAAGCCTGAATGGGCAGTTGAACAGTTTATGGAATGGACATGCGTGCAGACGATCGTGTCGATCGACCGGCATGAGTTTAGGAGATACATATGTATGGATGCAATGATCACTCCCAAACTCAAACGTGATATGTATTGAGTAACATTCGACAAAGCAGCTAAGCGTTGAGATATGCATTGTGAAAAAATTTAATTCCACAATCATACCGAACGAATATACAGATGTATATGTATATGTAAAATTTGAATACGACACAGTTTATATGCAGATCCCTTATAAAAAATTAGTAATTTAAATTAGGCGAATATTGGGCTCTATTCGCATATTTCGTTTTAAATATACAGAGCGTTTTAATGTAAGCAAATTTTTGCTATGTTTGCAAATTGCATAATTTGAAATTTCGTGGGAACTTTGATATTTATATCATATTGTAAGCTTATAGCAATCATTTTGCTAATAATTTAAACTAAAGCTATGTACTACATCCAAATTTTTATAGAGATAATAAGCTATTTCGTTTAAGATCCCTAATGTCTACATTGAATTCACTACTCAAAATCAATTCAGATAACTATATTCGTGCGTTCGACATGTCCGATATGAAGGGAGAAAGACAGGTGAAAATCTATTAAACTGCCACATGCGGCATATGTAATATATATACCGATTTCACCAATTTCGGCGCTAAATTATACTATACTCACTTATTTCATTAAGATACTTCCGCCGGTCTCTATGTACATACCGAACATGAAATAAACTGGCAGGATTATTACTAGTATAAGTTGGATATTTGAACGAAAGTCTAGAGCGTTTTAATTTATTTTACCCTTTTAATTAAGATATATCCAGGAACTCATTTTCCCTCAATTTTATTAACAAAATTTTATATTCTTGCAACTTTCAASAATCAAAGCCATGGAAATTCTTTAAGGTGAAAACGTCAACCAGACGATCGAAATCCAAGAAATTTTATATATACATATGATATATACATATAACTCATACTATACTGACAGACACGCAAGGTCTGTTAGAAAAACGAAAATCATAATATGTAGTATATGGAAGTGAGGTTAGTAGCGAACCCATTTTATCTATTATTCCCAATACCACATACTATTAATATGATACACTAATAAACCAATCATATAGAGTAAAATCAGCCGGATGTTTGAAAACTCTGATATTAGTTATATTAGGACTAGGTAAAATTTTCCCTCAAAGTTATCTATTTTATTTAAAAAGATACACCGTTATGAACAAAATCATTTTCATTGAGATAACTGACATATTAGCTTATATATGTGGTATAAAGTCACCCAGAAAATCAAAAATCTGTTTATTTTTATACCCATTTTTGACATACAGACATACCATTGATAAATAAGGATTATCCCTGAAGTTTAAATAAATAGCTCAAACATTGTCAGATATTTTTGATACCTATGGACTTGAACAGTTTTAGTTCAATTTGACTTAACTTAACTTTTGATCACAGTGTGGCATTCACAAAAGTGATTTCGCGCAATGTTTTGTTTTGATATATTAATTGCTTCTTGATTTATGTACTTAGGCTTGCGGTTCTTTTCATTGGGTGCGTTTTTTACGTGAAGGCTCCCAAGCCCAGCGTACAACCCTAAGTAGGGCATGCTTCGCCTTCTCACTTTAGCTCGCATTCAAACGGATGCTCGTAGGCTACCCAGAGGAAACTTGGTCAAGGACCGGAAGTCGTGAGCTGCTTGAGCCATATGTTAAATAATCATTTCTGGCCACTCCCAAGTGAATGACTATCAGAGAGCTTTCCTCACTTGCGTGAATTTTTACACATGATTCCATCCATACATAGATACCAAAAGTTAATGAGGGAAGCGAGACGTATTTGCAGACAGAAAAAGAAAGAGGTCGGCATGCGTGAGTATAAACAGAGGTAATGCTCGAAAATTCTRTGAAAAGATGCGGTGGCTAACATAAGGTTTCAGGACCGGAATATACTCTTGTAGAACCCCCAAAGGTGATCTAGTGACCGATGGGCAGAGCAAACTAAAATTATTGACGGTAAACTTCTCCAGTCTGTTGAATGACAGTTGAAGTACAATGCCAGGAGAAGGCGAACCCGATTCCCACATCTATGACGATGGAGAGACGTTCCATTGCCCTACCATGAAGAGTTTCGAAAAGCAATTACCAGTCTGAAGAACAACAAAGCAGCGGGGGCAGATGGATCGCTGGCCGAGCTATTCAAACATGGCGGCGAAGAACTGATAAGGAGCATGCATCATCTTCTTTGTAATATATAGTCGGACGAAAACATGCCCAACGATTGAAATTTTAAAGCCTGTAAGCCGAGATGTCTGAATTCGGTATCGCCGCAAAACTAATACGGCTGTGTAAACTGACGTTGAGCAACATCAAAAGCTCCCTCAGGATCGGGAAGGACCTCTCTGAGCCTTTCGATACCAAACAAGGTTTCAGACAAAGCTATTCACGTTCGTATGACTTTTTCAATCTTTTTCTGGAGGAAATAATTCGACTGCAGAACTAAACCGAGAAGGTAAAATCTTCTATAAGAGTGAACAGCTGCTAGCGATATTTACATCATCGGCCTCAACACCCGCGCCGTTAGTTCTGTTTTCTTCAGCCTGAACAAGGAAACAAAGCAGATGGATCTGGYAGTGAACGAGGGCAAGACGAAATATCTGTTGTCATCAAATAAACAGTCGTCGCACTCGCGACTTCGCGACTAAACAGTCATAACTTTGAAGTCGTAGATAATTTCGTCTATCTTGGAACCAGTGTAAATACCACCAACAATGGCAGTCTGGAAATTCAAATTAGCATAATTCTTGACAGCAGGTGCTACATCGGACTGAGTAGGCAACTGAGAAGAAAAAGTCCTCTCTCGACGAACAAAAACCAAACTCTGTGAGCCACTCATAATTCYCGTCCTGTTATATGGYGCAGAGGCTTTGACAATGACAACAACTGGCATCGATTAGATAGGCTATTACATATTGGTTGAATCAAAATTGCCAAAATCGGTCCACGAATAACCCCAGCTCCCATATATTACATATGATAGTATGACAAATATAATATACAGCTATTTAGACATATAAGAAAATATGATGTTCCAGCTGACAGTGGATCATCTATATTAGTCGGACTATTTACTTAAAAAAAATTTTACTCTAAGCTTTGACTTATTGCATAATTTAATAGGTAACATCAGCATGAAACTCTTAAGTCACTTTCAACATTTTTAAATGTAATATCGATTAATTTATCAATACCTGAAAATATGTCTCCACCTAATAAATTCAAAGAGTATAAGCTCGCATGTTTTCAACTTATATATTATATGGTATATACCATACAAAGGAAATAACTTGAATAAGGATGAAAAAGCATGACCAACTTAAATTTTTGAAATTTCTCTAACTTAATATGTAAAATAACAAATTTTACCTGTTAAAGTCATCCATGGATATCTTGGCAAATCTGCAATACTCTGACCAGCGCCACCTGTGGATAAAACGCCAGATGACGGCTGCGTGCAAGCGTTTCCGAGCGAATCAACACCAACAGCACCTGCAGAAGCTGCTGACGCAGCAGCGGCATGTTGATAAAACTGCGCAAAACTAGATGCAGAGGCGGGTGCACTCATTGATTGGTAACTGTTCATGATACTGTCTGTGTACCTGCTGTTAAAGAAAAAACACAATTTATCAAAAATCACAAGAGGCCAAATACTGTCATATTCTAATGCCACCTACTGCCAAAAGTTAGCGGCTTTTTGCATGTTTTCTTTTCACTTAGTTTTCTTTAAACAATTTCAATAGCATTCGGTTAAGATAATGGCTTTTGCGCGTTAAATGTATGGTATGTATGCAAATAGGTTAAGGTCAATGTGCGTGCGAATTTTTCTATGGAGTCCAATTCAGATATTTCGTTATGGTTAACTTAGTTCCAGCACTATTTAAAAGAAAAGGTGCTGTGCTTACAAATTGGCCATAATTGCCATCCATTGCAATACATTGCTCCTGTTTGTATACAGAGTTTTGGCAGTAATGACGTTTTTGTTTGCAGTTATGCTCTAATTATCGTACTAATTTAGGTAGATAATCTGCATATGTCTATCCGTTACGAACACGATCACCCGTGTTCTATTATTTACTTCATAAGTATATGCGGTTAAAAATCTTATTATTAGGTTCATGATTACATTAGGTAATAATTCCATATGAAAAGGAGAACTCCAAGCATTYGACCTTCCGTCTGTTTGACAAAGCCATGAGTATATTCATAAAACCCGAGTACTGCTACAACAATATCCACTACACCTATCGTATTTTTCTAATCGATTATCTTACTATGTTCGGTTACTCTCAAAAAAGATATACAAAAAAAGATATACAAAAGCAAAAAGGTTCTTTTTTTTTACGGTAAGTATCTTTACAACACATGAGATACCTTAAAGAATTTCCACTTTGTTCACTTAGAAATTTCATTGTTAAATCTCGACTCCGTCGGAACTTTTTCAGCCTTATTATTATTATTTTTTTTTTGGAGAAATGTGTATAAACTTTTTTTATTAAACTCCTCAGCGTTTCTCTTTAGAGCAAATATAAGCTTTTTCACTTATATGGGTATAGTTTTAAGATACCATGATTAATAAGCCACCCCCGAACGATTAATTAGGTTTATTACGGGCTTTTCTTAGACAYATCTGCCTAGATTTGTCCCCACTTAAAGCTATTAGATTTAAATAATARGCTTAGAAACCCTAGATGCTATAATCGGATTTTAAGATCGACTATTTCGTCAGAGTAAAGGAGATTGATATTTTGTAACTATAAAAGGATCCTATTATTGAGATTTTTTCCTTATTTGTAGATTGCCGAATTAATTACATACACCGCAAAATTTCTATTGTTATAAACCTGCTGAATATTGCTACTCACCTGCATGATTTGTCCTCCAGTCCGGAAAAACCCGGCATGCCAGAGATGCCGTGCGATGATGGGTGATTTGATACGTATGGATACATTTTATTGGTGGGTATTGCAAAAGATGAGGCAGCGGCGGCGGCGGCTGCGGCTGCTGCTACAGTGCTAGCGGCTGCAGCGGATGCAACAGCAACGGCGGACGCGGCGGTGGGTGAGTGATCGCTGATACTGCGATGCAGCGAAGATGATGTGGCTGAGGGCGACGGTGAGCAACTGCTATCTCCTGCTTGGGAGTTAGTTCCAGAGGGGGGTGTGAGTAACAATTGCTGATGGGACAATTGCTGTTGCTGTTGAATGCTGTGAGTGTGACCCAGACCGTTACCACTTTGGGAACTGACTGCTGCGGCAGCGGCAGCTAATTTATTTATATGTAATTGTTGTTGCTGCTGTTGTAAATGCAAGGCGGCCGACAAAGAATATTGGTTGTGATGTTGTTGTTGCTGATGGTGGTGTTGGTGGTTTTGCTGCAATTGCTGTTGTTGACTTGAAAGGGCTCCGAAAGTAGTTGACGACGGCGAAGACGAGGACACCGGTGAGTTGGACGACTGGTTTAAATGACTGCTGCTAATATTGAGGCTGGACGTCGATGGTGATAAAGACGATGAGTGGACGGCAACAGATGATATGTGACTACCGCTATGGTGATTGTTGGAGTTAATGCCGTTGTTGTTGTTAAAGCTGTTGGCTAAGGTATTAACGGAAGCCGTTGAGGAAGCTGCGGCGGCGGCGAGGGCGGCGGCAACAGCTGCTGATGACGAATTTTGTGAGGTTGAAGTTAAATGTGAACTGATAAATGGCTGAAACTGTGGATACTTCGGTAGCATACTATCAAAAACAAATTTTGACATTGCACATTATTTTGTTGCCTCGCGCGTCCGGTCTTTAAATTTGTTTATTTTTGCTGATAGTTTATGCTAAATTCTTTCATTGTACTTATTGAAATTCATTAATAATTTTAGTTTAACAAAACATTGGGAACAGCTACCGATTAATGGATCATTCTTTTACGAATTTGTGTTCTTGAATATGAGATAACCGTATTTTAACTTAAGCTTTCATTGAAGTAAACCAAAAATTAAAGAAGTAAATTAAGTGAAATTTAATTTTAAAAAATTACTGATAAACAGATTTTCAAAAAACATTGCAAAAAAGGAAATATATCATTCTTGTGTAGAACTATAAAATTAAACAATATTGACAAGAATACCAAAGAAGCAGTACCCTTTTCCAGCATGACTTGGTAAAATGAGTGAATTTAATCCGAGTCTTACCATGATGGTTGTAATCTAGTTTCATCAAATGAATTTTCTTTGTAAACGGAATCTTTGAAACAAGGTAATATAATATRTCCGATGTAATAGAAGAAATTGTGCCACTTATCAAATGTTTTCATTTATAATGGCAGTAATAATCAGTCGGCGAACAAATTTGTAAAGATAGTAAACTACATTGTTGAAGATCAGATAATAACAGCATTATGGCTACCATTTTTCTTTACTCATTGAAGATACCAAAATGATATTAGAGGAAAGAAAGTATAAAACAAATAGAAATATTGTCAGAAGTATAGAGAGATATTACGTAGCATTTGTTAGTGTTAAAGATCATTAAGGATTAGACGTAAACAAATAAAGCTAATGTGATTAATAATCAATTAGTAAAAAATATACTTCTAGATAAATTTGAAAAATAGTCAAAATAAATATATAATGTCTCTGATGGAAGCTCTAATGAGTAAATGAAAGTGTAGTTGAACTCAAAATAAAAATGCGTTTACCTTTTAAGGGAAGAATATATATATGTATATTATATCGCGGTTGTTTCTTATTTTATTATTTTCTTTTCTAAAGCTTATTTGATGTATTTATCTTGTATGTATTGTGTTTAACATTTATTCTTGTTATGCACTTGTATTTATTTCGTGTTTGAGTATTTAAAATTTTCCAATTTTCCTCTATGCAATTTTGAAAAAATTAACTGATATCATGGGAATAAAACCCAAAACACAACACTTCTTCACGTTCACTTTGGCATATGCGACAATACACAAAATTGATTTCTTAGCGACGGCATTGACATCTATCACTTTTCATTTACAAAAAGCAGATTTTTATTACCATTGCTATTAATATTATAATATCTAACATTATTAGCTCAAAATGAAAATTATATATTATAAAAGTAATTGTTATTGCTGCTGTTTACATAGTGAAGGAAAATCAAAAATTCACTCATTTTCTCATTTACTATCTTATATCCAATATTAATAATYCGTAAGAAATGTGAATCAGTGAAGAATGTGCTCGCTTTTCTCGCAATTTGAAAATTACAATATTTGGTTTTGTCATGAATACTTTTTACTGTTCTATTTGCATTTTTGACACAATCGTTAACATAGACTATGTACCAAGTAACAGATGCGTATTTTAATCCAACACATCTGTACAGGTATTCTGATCATTTTTAGAAGCTTTATGGCGAAGAGAACCATATTTGTCGAAAGTTTTTCTTCCATGCAAGTGGTTTTGCGACTACTGAAATCATTGTGCAAATGTCTAGCTGTTCATATGAAACTTTGTTAGCCGATAATTGCAGCTTTTCTCCTTGAAATTATTGCTGCAACTGATGGTACTTCGTTGTTGTTCTTCTTCGTATTTTTTGTGTGTTGTATGTCTTGTAATTACAATTGCGTCAGTTTTACGACTATTTAATTTGTATGATTTTTTTTTTTTTGCTCTATGGGTTGTTTGTTACCTCGATTTTTAGCAGGGGTACATGTGGATGAACGAGCAACTTTCATTGAACTCATTTTCAAAATATGTACTTATGGATTTAAGAAAAATCCTTACATTGCGTTTGTCGCAATTAATTTACGAGTAGCACATTTTTTTTAACTTTAGGAATATTCTTTTGGTAGAAAGCTGAAATTAGTTATGTAGTWTTTGTCTCGAACGCGGTCGATTTATACAACATGTGTACTCATTTAGAGTTCTGTATTATAACTTTAATAACTATTATTATATAACATTCATTATAGTACCGCCTTTGTGAAATATAACTATTTGACGCGTTTTGATAACACTTATTGGTAAAATTAAAACGAATGCATTGAAATATGATGAAAAGATTTTCTGTCTAGCATATTTTGTTTGTTGCAAAAAGATTACGTTAAAATCAACAGCAGCAAAAACAAAATATCCAACACGTCAGTATGGAGCATAATAACACATAACATTAAAAACATGAATGTAATAATAATAATAGTAATAGTAATGATATTGCACAAATACGGTTAATATCAACAGCGTTACGCGTTCAACGTTGGACGTACATTCAATATATGATATATGACAATGGCGTATGGCGTTTCGACGATTGTCGCTCGCATTGTAATAATAATCACAAACAGTTAAAAGACAATACGACGCGAATTTTGCTTTCACGGCACTCGCTCGTTCACTTTGATATCAAATCGTTGGTTCGCTATTATTTTTGTGTATGCTTGGTTACGCTTCTGTTGTTCGTCGGGTACACAACGTCAGCGCAAATACTAAATCGCTAAACGCTCCGCAGACACTACTGCGCTCTACGATAATAAATATTATAATAAAACGAAATTTTTAAAAGAGTATAAAAATTCGTGTAATTGGTAATATCTGCGCTTTTGTACGCGCTATGACTATGCACACATTTGAGGCATCAGCAGCAGCGACGCTTACGCTCCAACGGCAGCGACAACGACAGAATCCGCAGCTTTACAATTCAAAAGTAGCAGTCGCGTCTGAGATCTAAAACACTCAAATATAGTTGATATACTACACTTGGACAGCGCGGCACAGTGGCCAGCGGTATGAACAAATAGGGCGACCCATTGAAACGAAGTAAAACACGTTTGAATGAGTTGAGTGGATATTCGTAGCAGTACTCAGTAACTGATTGGGATTTAGTTCGTATGTGTAAGTAATTGAGCTGCACGAAGACAAAATGTAAGGCTAATTGGAAATGTTGCAATTTTTTGCACATGTGAATTTCAACTGGAAGAGAATTGAGCTACATGGAGAGAAATTGGTGGATGAAAGCGCGCTAAGAGTATATTGTGAGTGGTTTGATATATGCACCACTGAAATATATGTATATATATATATATAATATTACCATATAAAAGTCGTTTATACCTCTCTTTGGAATAATTAGATATTCACAACTATTTATGTATTACAACTACAAATACAATAACCACAATTATCGTACCTAACTATAGAAAGATATGTTTTTTTTTTTTTTAAATATACACACATACATACATATGTATGGTAGATACTTATGTACATATATTGCTCGGTTGGGAGTTCACATTACTCGTCTTAATTTCGTTGTGTGAGGTATTCAAAATGACATGGTAATAACACTCATAAAATCCGGGGTGCAGATCTAAAGCAAATTAAAATAAATAAACCGCAATTTCACACTCAACAGCCGCAGCAACGTCTCGCTGCTATCGTTATTCCCAATCTTACGCCGCGCTGCTTTTGCCGAAGGCACCACGTTCGTTGCCTCATTCACTCTTTATAACTYTGTGGCTTCTTATAGGGTTGTATGATTTTACTTCTACTTCTCTCTGTCTGTCGCATGTTAAAATTAATCGTTTGTGGCTTGCCGGCAAGAGCACTCAATTCCATCTGAARGAACGGTAGTGAGGTGTATTTTTGTTCAGCAAGTGATAAGTGCATTGACGATTTACTACTTGAGTAAAGTAACAGAAACATTTTATTTGGTGTTTTATTTTTGAGTAGCTTTGCATGAGCGTCTTTTGCATTGGAGTCAATTTATAGAAATGCTCTCTGAACTTTTCCATATGAGCTCTTTTGATATCAGAATTGTTCTCTGCACTGTATATATTCTAGAGGCTTTACTACTTTTGCGTTTTGTATTTAGTGAGTGTCCTATGACTGCTAATATTCTGGTTAATAGCGTGCAAATTTCTACTGAAAGCAGAAACCACTCTCCCAAAACGAGCTGGCACTCAACTATTTGTTAGCACAGATAAAAGAACTGGTTGAGACTATGCTTGCACACACAAGTGTAGTTTAGAAATCTATATATTTACATATTGGCATATGTATGTATATTTATATATACGTGAGTGAATTTGTGAATAGAAACCACAAGATATTTCAATTAAAGCTTCCATGAAAGTAGAAAAATAAGACTACTTGTATTGTTTTCAAAAGGGTTATTTTTAAGTCTTAACATAACTGACAGGAAATTAAACAAGCGTTGTAGAGCATTGATTTTTAGCTGAAAACGTCTCAAATAAAAAGTCGCGAGAGTCCTCCAATTCTGCCAGACTATTTCAGCATCCTGTTTTGAAGACAATTTCCAGCTTTCCTATTCGTTGTTATTATGCATTTAGATTTTATAATCGCTACAAGTTTGCAAAAAAAAATCCTTCATTGATTTATGGTCTTGATAACTGCGAACTCAGATTGTGTTCATGTCTTTGCACTATTGAAAAAATATTTCCAATAAGTTTGCACAAATTTTAATATCAAATTTACCTTTACTCCTGAAGAATATATGTATTTTATATTTTCCTTTTGAAAATTTTAAATATATGTATTTTAGTTATGGCCCTGCTGGTAACTCTTTCAAGGATTATAAGCATAAACGAATTTATGTATTTTAAATAAACCAATGTAARGGAACTACAAATAAAATATTAATAAAATTGTGTAAGCAGCTGAAACTATAACATGTAATTGTGTGTTTGAAATCATGATTAAAATTGTATATACATATCATTAATGGAAAAATTTCAATTATTTTTTAAAACGTTAAAGTCTTTTTATTTCTTTAATCGTTCGTATAGTCACTCTCAGAAAATTCCAAAATGGGAAGGATGCTCTAGCTATCTATCACTAAGACTGCGTCCATACAAACAYTTTTTTCGCTCAAAATAGGGTTTTGCAGGCGAGGGAGCGAAGAGGAAAACTAAAGAGACTGTTTCACTTATGGTCTGGCATTGTTCGTGTTGATTGTTCACGTTCCTAACAGTTCGTATCTATGCCAAACATTGTTGTTTATTTGAAATTTTTTACACAATTACAATTGCGCTTGGCTCCAAAGTAATATTTTTAATATTTGTTTAGGTATGTTTAGATATTTGAATTTTATCGTCTATTTTTTGTATTTAGTCATGTTTTTGAAAAGGACAACAAAAGACAATATCTGACTTTCCTGATTATGATGTTTTAAACCCAAAAACGGCTGCACGACACGAAAGCGAAATTTTTCTGTCTGAAAATGACGTCTTGAAGATAGTTTTGAAGATGTCAGCGGCGACAGATTAAATAACTCATAAACACGACTTCGTTGTGGTCGTACGAAAACCTTTYACTTGTATAAAATTTAAATATATTGTCCAAAATGAAATTTATGTGCAAAAATAAGTAAATAGGTTAATTCATTTGTTTTGAATTATTAAAAGTGATACATCAGATATATTTTAAACTTCAGTTGCTAATACTTATTACATAAGACCATAAGACTTGTTAAAGCAATTTTACTTATCACATATCAGTGGCAACGCTGCCCATTGTCTTTTAATTTTGCGACAGCAGATGCTGCCTGCCGCTTGTCATCAATTATAGTTTTGATGTATGAGGAACAAAAGTCCTCATGTGTTAACCCAGTCTTACTAGTCAAAGTCGGGGTGAAAAGCGAGAAGCAAGAGAACCAGAAATCGCTCAAGCAATCAAACACTCGGCAAGAGGGAATTCCAAATTATGTCCGAGTGCAATTTTAATTTGGAATAACATGAAAAACGCCGACATAATAATTTAGTTGATGTGCTTACTGAATGCTGTTGTCGCTATTTTGTATTCTTATTTGCTTTTTACTGAGGTTGTTATTTTTGAGTCTTCAAATTATTGTTATGACAGTTTTATGATTTTTTTTTAATTTATGGCTAGAAAAAAAAAAACCATATCGAGGAATTTTCACTGAAATTCACTTTAACTATGTATAAATGTCTTCACGGGCGCCAATTATTTGAAAAATATTATGTACTATTTGATTTGACTAACTAGCCTAAGGTATCGCTAAAGATGGGTGGTGGCAATGCAGTGAAACCAATGTTTGAAGTTTTATGAATAGTAACGTCCAACTCTTCTTTCCAATCAAAGTATAGATTTTCCAATAAGCAGTAAATTTTTAAAAGAAAATATGCTATCGATATGAAATTATTTGGAGGGATTTTAAAAAATATATACACCTCGTTTTGTTCCACTTAGTATTAATAGTGGCTTATATATAATATTTGTATTAATCAGTAAGAAATCGAAAGTTAGTGATTTCTCTCGCCACTTTGTATCGAACCTCGCATTAACACAAGAACTCTAAAATAAGAAAAAAAAGCGAAGGCTTTTTATGAGTTAGTTTATTCAATAAGTCGAGTTCTTCGATTGGGTATARTGAGAGAAGTATGCATAAATATAGCTATTTTCGTTGAGTATTTATGTGYATTATATTAAGTAAATTATTTCTGCAACTTTTCATTTTTAAGAAGTTCGCGATTCAAAGGTAATATGATTACTATTATCTTTAAGTAAATGTGTTTTATTATTTTCCACATCCTACAACATTAATTATAAAAGTACATAATACATTAAGTTTTTTACTGTTGTCATACATGCACGCATATTTCATATCACTTATAGCTATACAAAGTTATTAAGTAAGCCAAATACATCAAACAAAGCTATAAGCAAAGCAATTCTGTAATTTTAATTATTTTTTATTGCATACTTATGTCCACATTTTAACAAAATTTTGCTTATGCTGCTATAATCTCTTGGCTTCAATTTCACCAATTATGTAAATGATTTTATGCTTGCTCGGACGATAGTTTAGAAGACGAAAACTGTCGGTGCATAAACAAATTGAAACTAAATTCTAAGCCATTGGAAACAATTTTATAATCAAAACAAATAATAAAACAGCGTTACGTATTATTCGTTTTAACTGCCACTTAAAGTACATACATACATACATTTAAAGATATGTATGTTATTATATGAGTTTTAAATTATTTCGCTTACTTCTCATATTGTTGGTGTGATGTTAGTTTATTGTTTTTTAAAAAGTGAATTGTTGAGTTCGTCAACTCACCGCTGTAAAGCATTTGTCTGTACAGCGGTGCCATTAAAAGGTAATAATCGTAATAAACTAATAAAACTGAAACTGGGTGATACACSAAGGCGCTACGACACCCTGATTCAATGGTATACAAACAAACGTACATTTATGGATGTGTGCATACAAGTATAAAGCGTGCCACGGATTATTCTGAAATTCATTTGGGTTACTGATAAATATTAACGAAAACATAATAAAATAATAATTAAACCTTACTAATTATCATAACTTGGAATCCTAAGATTCTCTCTTCCATCAGTACTGCAAAGAGCCGGAAATCTCTAGAATTTTCTTATTAGAAAGGTAGCCGGTAAGTTAGTCAAGCCAGAAATAAAATATAGAAAAACATTTAAACCCTTAAAACAAACAGAGATTAAGTTAAAATTAGCAAAACTCTTTTTTATTATACCTCCATATTTATCAGTGAACAAAGAAATCGTAAAATCTAAATATCAATATATCAAACATAATTAAAATATCCATGACTATCCATGCTRCATCGCTTTTTGGTGATCATTAGTCTTTTGATTGTATTTCATATTTTTCTTTAAAGTATTGGATATTTCTTTATTTTCTTGACTTTACATTACATCTATTTGTAATTATTTTTAAAAATATTACAACTATGTATAGCAAATAATAATAATATTGATATTATATCGAGTAAAGTATTATATTGAGTAAAACTGCAATATAAAAAAATTGCCTTCACTTAAAACAAATAGTTTTCAAAATGATGATATTTGACATTTACTAGCTTGAAAAATGTACATTCAAATTTGCGATATTTAAGTTAAAGGTTCAGTGTATGGTAAGTCTAAATCATATACTCTGCTTTACTTTACGATGTCCTAATTGATAATAAGRTTTGCTGGAAATAATTTATTAGCTTTATAAACAGCTTGGTTATTAGTTTTTCCTCCTAACTTACCTTTTGATGCGTTATTTTTGCATGAATTCTTGAAAAGAAAAACAAAACTCAATTATTACKATTTCATATCGATAAAATCATTATCATAAGTATTATTTTAAGTGAACTATTAATTATCAAATTAATGCCATTTCTAATTAATTTTATTTCTTAGACATATCTAAATACTGTTAGTTTAAAAGTTTTCGGCAATGTGTTCCCCAACTGTGGAAGCGATAACTTAAGTAAAATCTTAAGTATTTTTACAAAACTTTGTATAGATATTCACCAAAAATTATAGATTGCCTTAATTAAGATACAAATAATAGTACAAACAATGTGCAGAGTCATCTGCAACTTAAACATAGTTATATCATTTACAACAGGGTAAATACTTTTCGCGGTAATAATYTGTCCCGGAGTCGAAACTATTTCCCTGCCTCTTAGCCACAGTATAATATATTCGGTTATATCCGAATTATGCTCTTCCTTACTTGATTAATACAAAGTTTTATCACCTGAAAACATTTAATAGCCTTCTAGTATGAGGGTGCCGGCGATTTGTGTGATATTTTTTTTTTTTGTTTAAGTTAAAATATGAATAAGCGTTGAGTAAGAATGAAATTGATCACAACTTTGGTTTAGACCTCATTTTCTCTATATAATAATTTCTGTCCCTTAAGCTGATGGTTTTTATATTTACCCATTACACACAATAAACTTTTTTGAATTATTTACATATTTCATATTATGTATATAATTACGGAACAAAATACAGTAATGAAAGTCAGTGAGTGTTTGGTGACCTATATATAAATTAGCAACATATTAATATTATATGAATGTTGAAATGTTACACAATATTTTGATCTTTGCAATTTTCCAATGTATACTTAACTCGTTCTCATTTATTACATTCTCTATTAGTTCGTGCTGTAACTGAGTGTGTATATTCATGTTATTTATAAATGTTTTTTTATTTTTAAACTAAGCAAAGCCAAAATTTTAACTTACTTCTCACTTTACTTTTTTAATTGTAACATAATCAATTTAATTGTATATTATTATACTATTAATTATATTATTAATATAATATTTCAAGCAGACTGTTGTGGTACCTAAAGCTTAAAGGATGTCAAATTAATGCAATTAATTTTTGGTTAAATATTTAAAAATATGAGTGCGGACCTATTAGCATGCATTAGTTGATCCAATTGGAAACAAAAATTGAAACGTATTGAATTAAATAGTTACAAATTCACCAAAGCGTAGTATGTAAGTGTAGAATTTTTTGTTATACCAACATTTTACAATTTGAAATTTGTTTTGGTATATTACAGCAGAAGAAGGACAAAAACTACAAAAGCTCTAAGCATTCCATGGTTAACATTTCTTCGTAGTGTTTTTAAACATTTCTATAAGTCTAATTGGTACACGCCTAATAGGAAAATAGTACGTATAAGTATGTTCCAATTATCTTTATATATATATGTTTCATTTATCGTAAGCTAATTTTAAAACATTATTTCAATAGTGTAGCTTTACCGTTTTCAAAAATTGACGTTTATTTGCTGGAATAAGTAGAAGAATTTCATAATATTTTCAGAATGAAAAACAGCCGGTAGCGACTGCAGACTTCTAAAAATTATATTTTTATTGCATAAGGGAGACATCTATTGACCTAACTTTACATTTGGGTTTAAGTCAGTTAATTGTCGGTAAAGCGGTGTTCGGCAATGCAGTTTTGACGAATTTGTACGCATGTCCTGTAACAATTGCTAAAAGGAAACTATTCTGGTCAACTATACCATAAGTAGTGTGAGACCGATTAATCGATACCGCCATCGGGCAGTAACGGCCAAGAAAATGGTAATCATCATAGGCGTCTGCATCGGCCGTTTTTGACCGATCCCTTGCACTCTTTTCGGAAGCCATTCCATGTTTTTTTTTTTTTTTAATTCCAATAAAGTTTAAAATTTTAATCAAGTTGCTTGAAGAAAAGTTGCATATACATATCTATGTAATTAAGTTAGCGATTCGCACCTTCGTATTGAAATAACAACTGATTTKTGTAATGTTATTTGTTCACGTTTTTCATTTGCTAAATTAGTTACTAAATACATTATTTCATTAAGAAGAAGAGGCCATTTAAACCGACATCGCCATCAACCAAAAATTAGGCATCGGTAGGAAACTACTGTTAAGTAGCGGATATCTTTATACTATAAACATATCATATTATTGTAACATGTGTTTTATAATATATTCTTATCTAACGGTAGTTTGTAATTTTATATTTATAAAATTGTCGAAGATCTCTCATAAGAAGGCGTTCATGATTAAAGTGTGATTTCTTAGCCTCAAATTACGCTAGACACTTAGACTTAAGAAGAAGGTTTATATGGGAGTGCGAGAATATTAAACGCGAGAAAGGTAAACTCACCGTTCATCATCAAAGGCCTCCATTTTYAATTCCCACGACAGCCGTAAGTGTTAATATTTGTTTGTCGTCATTGTTGCAGTTTTTCTCCGTTTCCTTCTGGCTCGTGCTACTTACCCCGAGTGGCCAACAGAGGACATTCACGGTCCCCAGAAGCTCAAAAAGTCAACATAGCAGCCACTCCCGATGAATACATCGACCGCAGRGATACTACCCTAGAACGTCAGGGTATAGCTATCCGGTCAGGCGATGTCGAAGCTTGAAATATTTAATATATACATCCCCCCAGATACATGTTGCCTATAGGATATCACCCCATCTGGTACTAGGTGCCTTTAACGCGTATCACGATCTTTGACATTACTGCCTGTCAAACGATCATTGGAGGATGGAGCTGCGGGAACTGACAATTCGACATTCTTCACAATCAATGAAATATGCCTATAATTATCTCGATTGAGAAACTTCCCGCTTATGTTTCTATGGACAACCGCATCTTCGTTAACTTTAACAAAGCTAGCTGGATCGGCTTCACAGAATTTACTAAGAGCATTTTCAACGCTCTACCCGAAAAGACATGACGACCGAGTTAAAGTTCAATTCAATGGTCATGCCTCTTCGGACCCGAATGCATGGCCTCCAAAAAGTGCACAGCACCACCACAGCATTTAGCGTCATAAACGCTCAGATAGTTCGTGGCCAAAATCAGAAACCTCCCTGTGAGAGAACGATTATCGTAGACTGTCAATAATCCTAACATTTAAGGTGTAAATTTTGATATCCTATGCTCCTTCGCTTCCCATGTGACCGCGATTATCCCCAAGGTACAAAGCCGCGAAACGTTGTTGGCAGTATGCAAGGCAATCGGCCGGCCGATCCTCAATTATGCCGCACCAATAGGGTAGCCTGGATACAGTGGTATGCAGATGAGGAAACTCCAGACCTGCTARAACACTGCACTCCGGACCAAGACAGGATGCCTCTTGATGTTTCCCAACGAACAGCTACATAGTGAGACGCTTATGCTCCCAGTTAAGGAGCATAATGAACTCCTTGCAGCCAGCTGCTTGGAGCGGAACCGCTTCCTAGAAGCATCAAGAGGCCTTACTTAACTCAACTAACTTCCGACAGGTACTGACCACCCTTCACAGTAGAGCTATCAATGTCTTCACCGACGCGCTTCCAGTGAATGGTGTTCAAACTACCACCCATCGCAGGCGAAGAGCTCGAATCGCCGCGAGAAATGTGATCGACCCTAGCGCAGCTTCGTTCTGGACATTGGAGCAGGTTAAACTTCTACTTATCCAGAATACACCCCGACATATCCAATATATATTCTGCATGCAATGAGTCTCCGCCTGACACTGGCCACCTCTTTGCATGCCCTACTCACCTAACATCCCTATTCCTTTGGTCCAACCCCGAAACAGCACGTTTTGCTTTTCAATTCTATCATAATCATACTTTTTTGAAAAAAATTCAGTTTTAATGGAACGAGTCGACCAAGAACGCGTTTTATATCCTAAATATCCACCAAAACCATTTGAAACTCGCGAGAGATTTCAAGATCTCTTGCCATCGCTCTAACACGTGCCTGAAGATTTTCAAGCAGCATGTCCTTCACTTTTTTAATATTTTCATCAGTTGAACAGGTCGGAGATCGTCCATAACAAGGAATTTCTTCACCGATATCTCCACCGTCTTTTAAAGCTTTGTTCAACACGTTGGCTTGTGTTTTGGAATCACCGTAAAACGTTTCGAACATTCCGCACACGAAATTTGGTTAAAAATACAAAATTTGGAACAAAATCTCTCTTCGATATTTTTATCTATTGTAAAATTCGCAACTCATTACTACACACTTAAGCAGATGTTGTAAGTAAACTGGTTGACAGATCGACCATTTTTTGGTGAAATCACATATACCGGGACCCGACTGACCGACTTCACATATTCTTACTTTCCATATAAGACAATATCAAATTCCATTTGACTCTTTCACATTCTAGTGTACAAATTAAGAAGCTATTAATATAAGATATGTGCGAATAATGCCTTTGAAGTATGTCACTATATGAAAAAAAGTGTACAAGTTCAACCGAAAACCTCCTAGGTACCGAATATTTGGACCCCAGTAGAAATAGTTGAACTTAAATTCAGAGATTATACTTTGCTGACAATAGTGTGTCTGTAGGTCAAAAATGTCTTGAACCGATTCAATATTTCTTTTAGATCAATATACGTAATACAAATATTTTCGACATTCTGGGTGACTTTATTCCGCAAATGTCGGCAATATGTGAGTTATTTCAATGAAAATTCATATTTTACTTATAGTAACAGTGATTATGGCCGAAAAATTTACCAGCACTATATAACTAATGTCAGGATTTTCGAACATCCGGTTGACTTTACTATTTAATGTGGCCCTGGGAACATGTTTTAGTCTGTGGTGTATTGAGTGTAATATGTGGTATTGACAGAAACAGATAAAATCAAGTCAATACTACCCCCACTTTCATATACTACTTATAACAATTTCCGTTATTCCAACGACTTTTATGCCATATGTATGTAAGTCATAATAGGTTGATATGATAACAAGTCTG